AAATACCCGGTAACGACACAATAACAGCTTGCATCTTCATGCCTATGCACACAGGGGCAGAAGCAGGATGGCACAGGAGATCTTCACACTGCTATGTCGTAACTGCTCCACAGCGACAAACACTAAGTAGCCACATGAATATTCTCTCAGTGCTTGGAATGCTTGTAAGACCCTAGCTTTTTACTAAAGCAAGCTAAAAAGAGGGAAATGCCAATTCAAGCTGTATCAAGTTACCATTTATCTGAGTCACCAGCAGAACAAACTTGTACGTGCAGCTCACAAGCCCCTAGCACTGGAGCTGACTACTCGATATCACAAGCAGCGTGCAACATCCCACATGGGCCAGCGACAGATGCTTGGCCAGTAGCTTTCCCAGCTATCTGCTGACACCAGAAGAGCAGTGAGTCTTGAGCCCATCTCAGGCCTAAGGGAAGATGCTGCTCAGCAGCTATGTCCTGGAACAACCGCTGTCCCCACACTGAACAGCTTCTGCACCGCTCTCCACTTTCCCAAGTCCTGCTGTTCCTCCACTCACTGCACAAATGAGAGACTCCTTGTTGTGCCTCCCCCATCAGCCAAACCTTCATCTCCCGGTGAGGCTTTATACAGTAGAAATCTGAGTATTAAATGCAAAGATCTGGCCTCTAGCTTCCTGAAACACAGGTCAAGAGGTTGAGCAAGTACTCTGGAGGTATCATTATACTCTTGGCTTGCTCTTGCACTTTCCTCGACAGCTGCTTTGGTCACTGTCTGAGTCAGGATACGGGGCTGGACTCACTTTGATCTAATCTTGCACAGTTGCTTTTACATCTAAACCCCAGCCTTGTGTATCCCAGCACGTAGCTCCTCTTTGCCCAACCTGCAGCAGCTCTGTCCTCCAATCTGTCCCCTCATCAACCTGATGAAACACAACTTAAAACACCAGTACCAAACAAGGCCCTGCTGACCACATGCAAACTCTAACTTTTCCTCCAAAGATTTGCAACTTGGTCAAACACATTTAGGATAATTAATGGAGAGGAAAGTAAATCACCTCTGACCTTGGCATTCACTATTCAAGATTGTCACTCCCCCCAGCTCTACAACTCCAGAACTTCACAGGACAGGTTAAATACGCTTTTAACATGGAGAAAACAGCACTTTTCTCGAAGTTGTTCATAGTGAAGACTAAAGAAGGGAGCTGATCTCGTCCAGAACACAGTGCCTAAAACAGACGCCTGGAACATAAACTCTCATCCCGAACAGTTACACAGTTTAGCAGTGTTATAAGCAATCAAAAACAGTGTCTCATGATAGGAAGTGTCAAGCTGTCTTAAAAGGCACACAAGATAAAGGCATAAGCCAGAAGGCATCATCTGCACCCTATCCTGCAGTAACTCACGCTCCTGTGTACAACCTCACTTGGCGTAGGACAACAGCACACCCAAACCACGGCTCTAAAGAGAAGGAAGTTAAATACTCGAGGGTTAAACGTTTTGTTCTTCCAAATTTTCCAATAAACACCTCTCACTCAAACACAAACAGGAAAACCATGACCCTGCTTTCCCTTCCGCTAAATATTTACATTCAGCAAAAACGCAACAGAGGTTTTGTTTAGGGGCAGAGGAGGAGATTTTAATGCTTAAGTGAAAATTCTGAGTTCGCAAAATGTTTGTCCCCTGAGTAAATTCCCATCAGGTTAAGCACATAATCAAAGCTGACAAAAATGGCAACTAGATTTCCCAAGAATAATGTCAGGGGGAGAGGTTTTACATTGTTCAAGATGATCCAAAACTCCTCTTATTTTTGTGCTTGTTTTTTTTTAAAGTAACCCTTTTCAGACAATTACTTCCTACCACCACCAAACTTCACAGCAAAAAACCACATCAGTGCAAGTCAGTGAAGGTCTGGATTTCCATACTCCCACTGTTTGTTGAATGTTACCTGAAGGGAGCCAGCGAGGCTGCTGAAGAAATCAAGCACTGCTCTTCAGAAAAAGGGCAGAACTGAGCCCTTGACTGTGTGACAACACTGCGCATGCCAAGCTACGCTACACGGCATTTTCATCCGTGCATTAACATTCAAACCCACTGTAAATCTCGCATTTACTTGTACTAGAAGCTTTACAGTGCTGCAAAAACATTGGAAATATTTCTAATCCTCTTAGTACATATAGAAGATTTCAAGGTAGATTATGTTTCCCCACTATCAAACCTACTTAATTTTTAAGCTTAAAGATTGGTTTTCTTCGCCTCTTTGTTAACCAGAAAGCACATCCAGCACCTGTATGAAATAAGTAAACACAGGGAAAACTAAAGCTTGATTGTTTGGTGCCATCATTTTTTGCTGTTTAGGGATCTGATACCTTGAGACAACACATTCCAAGAAAATATCAAAAGACAGGACACTCCTGAAACAGTAAAATGAGAAAGGCAAGACTTTAATGTCTCCGGGCAAGAGTTCTCTCTGTGCTGTATGTTTCTGTGCTAATACACATGGTCTCAACAGGGAACCACAAACGATATCACGATGCAATCACTAAGCAGTAACAGTCTTAGAAATTAAAAAACACCAACCAGGTCATCCAGTCCCCTTCCCCAGACACCGCCAGTCTGCTCCCAGCTGTGCACTTTAAGGGATTAAACACCAATATCTTGAAATATGTAAGCAAAATAACTGTGCAGGGAATATACAGTTCCAGGGTCGGTACCACAGAAATACTACGGGTGTGAACAGTCACAAGAGCTCTGTCTGTCTGCTCTGATAACTGCCCTGCTTCTTCAGCTTTCCCCAAGACAAATGATTGTGCCAGTGTGCACAACAATTCTGGGACATGGACAGTCCCAGGAGGAAAGAAGTCTGGGTTTAGATCTCATCCTCCATCTGCTCACACACAACTTTGATTGGATATCAAGTCTCTGTTCACAGTCTCTCTTCCACACCAAGCTGTACTACAGTCATCTCATTTGGAGCCCAAGGTAGCCCTGGAAAACATCTTTATTAGCAAATGGCTACAAAAATAATGTGCTGTGCTGTTCAAAGTGAGACCTTGCATGTGAACCTAGATAAAGCTTTATTACTGGGGATTGTAAACTAATGTATTTATAAAGGGTGACACGTAACTCACCCCATGAACGCAAGCAGCTGGCTTTTACAGACAATCCAGAGCCTTCATTTTGGTGAAATAATGAAAACCTCCTTCAATAGCATCACCACCTATGAGACCCCAAATAGAGCCGCTTCACTCTCACAGACATTGCTGGGTCCTTCAGGAATAGCAATTCATTTACCCTGTAGAAAAGAGCATGGCAAATGTGGAGCGTCACAAGGTTGCCAGCCCACCTGCAACACCAGCAAACCAGCTCAGACTTGCAAAGCAGCATGAAATACTCTGTGTGGTGTGGAGTGGCTCACAATCCACGCTGTCCAGTTAATCCCATAAGTAACCAGAGAAACAAAGAGAGCATTTTAAGTATGACTGAAATTTGGGTACTTTTATTTTGAGGTGCACAACTTGAGACGTGATACTCAGAGTGCCGAACCCTGACAGTAAAAAAACTCAAGTACCTTCAATAGGTATTAAGACGGGCACCCTAAAATTCAGGCTGGTTTTGGAAACCAAGGCCACTGCGTATGTTTTCTCTCTTCAAGCCATGAGAGGACATGGCAATCAGGTTTTCGAGCAGTTAAATGCAAACTCACAGAAAATATGAGGACATGTTTAATGTCTCACCAGTAGGACACTAAGAAACATAAAATAAAAGCTAGTGCAGTTCACGGGAAAACCCAAACAACCTGCTGGCAAACAGGAGTATGCTTCAGACTCCACCACTGCAGCGCAGACACACCATCCACTGCCCAACAGCAGAGCAGGACAGAAGCTGCAAGCTCTCCTTTTGTGGATGCTAACGTTTTATCACAGCTAGACAACACCTTGCCTTCCAAGTACACCTCGTACAAGAAGAGCTTCTACCCCCTAAACAGACCTCCTGCTAACAGGTCATACAAAGTCCCTGCAGCAACTCCAAACACAGCCTGCCTGGCAGAACATCAGCAGAGCATTTAGGACATACCCGTGCCCAGGTCAGCAGTGGAAACTACAGGGGAGGGAGTCCCTGCTGTACAGCTTCCTAATTTTCCCACCAACAGGAATCCTTGCAACCTTTGTAAAGGGGCAAAAGGGGGTCAGGCAGGTGCAACCAAACAATTTTTTGCGTTTAAGTACTCACAGCAGCAGTCTAGCAGAAACACTAACTTAATTCTGGGCTTCTACAAATTCCTGAGCTAAACTGTTCCCATCAAAAGCTCTTTGCAAGAATCCAGCTCCATTTGATGTAACAGCCATTCTATTATGCTGTCAAACATCAGACCACAGACAACGCTTCAGGTGCATTGGATTAGGTACAGCAGAGACACACACTGGTATGGGAAGCACTAATAGGAGCTGCAAGTTCACCCGAGTAACATTATTACTTTGGAAAGAGGTCACCACCTCACTCACCCCACCAAAGCCACAAGTGTTTCTCTACTAAACATCAGTATTTTCTACCATGATTTAAAAAACCCTAAGTGAAGCATACAAACACCGACAATTGAATCAAACTTAAAGGGAAAAAGAAGCAAACAGAAAACCCTGCCCCTGTTCAAATCACACGTACTAGTAAACAGCACATGTACTAAAAGATACAAAACACCAGCAGCATAATCGCAGAGCAGGACAGAATGGTGTGTCTTTTGCTTACTACTTCTAGTAGCATCAAGATAGCTAATCTACTCGATTAATCTCCCAGCAGTACAGCTTCTGTCCATCTGATGATTTTGCAATACGAAAGAAAACTCACTTGCACTTTCACAAACATGTGAAGTCTTCGTGGGAACCACAGACTCAACAGAAAAAAGGAAGTTTCTTTTATAAGATGTCATCTTTCTTAAGCATGCAACATCTCTACAGATGCTTAGTGTTACATCCACATCTACTGCATCTTCGGAAGAAATAACAACAGAAAAATAAGCCATGTTACCTGGAGCATAAGTTCACAGTCATCTCTGCCAACAAATATCATCTCCCGAGGGAGCCGATGGCGAATGCCAGTGCTGCTCACCAAGAACCACGAAGTGACGCTCATTTTGGCACTTGACACTTAATCTTTATACATCCTAAACAAAAAAAACCAACAGAATAAACAGTGAGCTATTAATGAAGTGCGGAAGTACACCAGTGCATAGCTGCAGTTCCCAAATTTCCCTGCACCATGGGACCCAGGGCTGTCTCTTGTACTTTGTGTTCATGTCTTAAATGTCCTGTGGCAACAAGCAGTCGCGAAGCGCGGGCCAGAATCTGCTGCCCATGTGCCATGTCTAGGTGCTCTGCAGCCCTGGAAATATTCCCATAGAAAATTAAGATTAAGGGCTGGAAGAAAGGATTGTTTAAAAAACAAAGCATGCAGCTGAATCCAATCAATGAAATGATGAAATATGGTGGGAAGGGGAAAAAAAGAAAAAAAAAAAGGCACCTTTTCCAGAACATTTCCTCATCACTAGCACTGTGCATGAATCACAGCTTGAGCTTCCCCCATCATCAAAGATGCGACCAGCACATCAGTGAGGTGACACAACCTGGCTCCTATAACCTCTCCCGGTACACTCCCAGGAGTGGTTACACCGCCGCTGGGAGGAGAACAGCCTCCCCATGGCTCATCCCACTTCCACACTGATCCAAGCCGTGAGGCCACACATCCATCCTTCCTTCCTCCCTCGCTGTGTGAGCTGGTCCAAAAACCACACCGCGCTGCTACCCCAGGACAGGAAACACAGGCTGCGATTCCCAGCGGAGGGTTTGGGAGCACACCGCCCCTCCTGCCCCTCCAACAGGCAGAGGAGCAGGCGGCTGTAACCTGGGAGGGCAGCGGCGGCGCTTCCCGGGAGCTC